CCTCCTTAAAAAGGGGGGCCCCCCTTTTTTAAAAAAAAAGGGGGGGGGGTTTTCCCATTAAAATTTTCCCAACCCCAAAAAAAAACCCCAAGGGCCAAAACCCCCAAACCCGGGGGGTTTTTTTTTTTTTCCCTTTAACCCCAAAAACCCCTTAAAATTTTTTTTTAATTTTGGGGGGTTTTTTAAAAAACCCCCCCTTTTTAAAAAAACCCAAAAAAACCGGCCCCCCCCCCCCCCTTAAAAAGGGCCCCTTTTTGGGGGGCCCCTTTTAAAAATTAAAGGAAAATTTTAAAAAAAGGAAAAAAATTTAACCAAAAACCCCTTTTCCCGGGGAAACCCCCTTTTGGAACCCCTTTAAATTTTTTCTGGGTTTTCCCCAAAAATTTTTTTTTTTTTTTACAAAAATTTTTTTTCCCCCCTTTTTAAAAAAAAAAATTAATTTGCAACCCCTTTTTTTCCTTTTTAAGTTTTGGAAATTTTTTTTTTTAAAAATTTTTTTTTTGGTTTTGGGGGGGTTTTTTTAAAAAAACCCCCCCCCCCTTTTTAAGGGGTTCCCCCCTTTTTTTCTTTCCCCTTTTTGGGGGAAACCCCTATAAATTTTTTTTTTTTTCCCCCCCGGGTTTTTTTTTTTTTAAAAATTTTTTTTTTTTTGGGGAACCCTTTTTTCCCGGGATTTAAATTTTGGGGGGTTTTTTTTTAAAACCCCCCCTTTTTTTCCAAAAATGAAAAATTTTTTAAAAAAAACCCCCCCCTTTTTTCCCCCCTTTTATTTAATTTAACCCAAAAACCCCTTCCCCCTAGGTAAAATTTTTCCCCCCCTTTTTTTTTAAAAAAATTTTTTTAAAGGGGGGAAAAAAGGTTTTTTTTAAAAAAAGGGGGGCCCCCCCTTTTGGGGTTTTTTTAAGGGGAAAAAGGGGGTTTTTAAAACCTTTAATTTTTTTTTAAAAAAACCCCCTTTTTTTTTAAAACCCAAAAAAAAAACCCCCCCCCTTTCCCCCGGTTCCCCCCCCTTTTTTTTTAAAAACCCTTTTTTTTTGGGGGGGGGTTTTTTTTTCCCCCCCAAAAAAATTTTTCCCCCCTTTTTTTTCCCCTTAATTTGGGCCCCCAAAACCCCCCCCTTTTTAATTTTTTAAAATTTTTTTTTTTAAAAACCCCCTTCCCCCCCCCCCTTTTTTTTCTTTTTTTAAAAAAAAATTTTAAAAACCCCCTTTTTTTTTTTTTAAATTTAAAAAATTTTTTTTTTTTTTAAAAACCCCCAAAATTTTAAAAATTTTTTTGGGGGCCCCTTTTTTTTTTTTTTCCCCCCTTTTTTTCCCCCTTTTACCCTTCCCCCCGGTTTTTTTAAAAAAAACCCCCCTTATAATTTTTCCCCCCCCAAAAAAAATTTTTCTCTTGAAATTGTTTTTTCCAAATTTTTGGGCCCTTTTTTTAAAACCCCCCTTGGGAAAAAATTTTTTTAAACCCCCCCGTTTCCTTTTTTTAAATTTTTAAAAATTTTTTTTTCCCTTTTGGGGGGGGTTTTTTTTAAAAAAGGGGGAAAATTTTTAAAACCCAAACCCCCCGGGGGGAAAAAAACCCCCTTTTCCCCGGGGGGGAAAAAAAGGGGGAAATTTTCCTTTTTCCCTTTTAAAAGGGGAAATTCCCCCCCTTTGGGGGGCCCCCCCCTTTTTTTTTTTTTTTTTTTTTGGGGGGGGGGAAAAAAAAAAAAAAAATTTTTTCCCTTTAAAACCCCAAATTTTTTTCCGGGGGGGGTTTTTTTTTCCCCCCAAAAAAAAAAAACCCCCCCCGGGGGGAAATTTTTGGGGCCCCCAAAAAAAATTTTTTTTTCCCAAATTTTTAAAAACCCCCCAAACCGGGGGAAAAATTTTTTGGGGGGGAAATTTTTTTTTTGGGGGGGGGGAAAAAGGTTTTTTCCCCCCCGGCCCCCCTTTTTTTTTTAAAAAAGGGCCCCTTTTTTTCCTTTCCCTTTTTCCCCCTTTTTTTTATTAAATTTTTTTTAAAAAAAAAATTTTTAAAAAAAAAAAAACCCAAAAAAATTTTTTTTCTTGAACCCCTTTTTTTTTCCCCCCCCCCCCGGGGGGTTTTTTTCCCCTTTTTTTTCCCAATTTTTTTTTTTCCCCCCCCCCCCCAAATTTGGAAAAAAGGAAAAATTTTTTTTTAAAAACCCCCGGGGACCTTAAAAAAAAATTTTTTTTTTTCCCCCCCAAAAAAAAAAAAACCCCCCCCTCCCCCCCCCCGGGGGGGGGGGGCCCCCCCAATTTTTAAAAAAAATTTTTTTTTCCCCCCCCCCCCTTTTTTTTTTTAATTTTTTTTTCCCTTTTTCCCCTTTTTTCCCCCCCCAAAAAAAATTTTTTAAAAAAGGGCCCCCCCTTTTTGGGGGGGAAAAATTTTTTTTTTCCCCCCTTTTCCCCCCCCAAAAAAACCCCCCGGGGGCCCCCCCCCCGGGGGGGGCCCAAAAAGGGGGGTTTTCCCCCCCTTTAAAATTTTTGGCCCCCCCAAAAAAAAGGGCCCCCCAAAAAAACCCCCCAAAAAGGGTTTTTTTTTTAAAAAAAAAAACTATTTTTTTTCCCCCCCCTTTTTTTTTGGGGGGGGGGTTTTTTTTTTTTGGGGGGGGGGGAAAAAAAAATTTTTCAAACCCAAAAAAAATTTTTAAAAAAAAAAAAATTAAAACAGTCACCCCTCCCTTCTTTTATCACCTTTTACCACTCTATTACTAGTGGTCCCGTAAATCCCTTTTCCCTCACTCTCCACCAGGAACAATTACGACACTTCTTATTATGAAATGAGGCCTATATTAATCCTTAGGCCACCGTGAACGTCAATTTCGTGGTTCCGTGTTTTCTCAGCTTCCTCACCACCATTCAAAAACAATACGCGCCCCCGCCTCCCCCGCACATCCGCGCATGCGCCAAGGGAACTCTTGGTTCTACTCCATTTTCAAATACATTTTGACTCCTATCGGCACATAAAACACCTATTAGGCGCTATAGTTTCGGAAAATTAAAAATTTTCCACAGTACTCATTGTAACTTATCTAATGACCATATGAACTATTATTACATCGACGCCATGCCAAGCTCCTGAGCCGGAGCTTGCAGCTCACAAGACTGTCATTCCAATTAGCCCCCTTGGGGCGGGGATGGCAGACCAGAGAGGCCTAGTTTGTGGCTAGGCCTGGGGACAGTTGGTCCCAAAGATGAGGAGGTACTTGTGCCTCCTCCCATGGGAGACTTAGGTCTCGAAAATTCCGTAAAGAGGGAGCCAAGGCCGGGCCACCACTTGGAAAAGGCCCGGGCCGGGAAAATACCGGCGAATCTTTAATAATAATAATAACTATTATTACCTTCCTAATCTTAAGTTAATTTTTAAGTTTTGCCCGAAATGCTCTACATACTAAGGGGCTTTTGGAATGTACACCCACCTATTATATTCCTCTGTACAACCATTTATCATATCAAAATAAACTTTTATTATTATTCTTAATAATAATAATTAATATAATAATAATAATAATAATAATAATAATAATAATAATAATAATTTTAATCAGGTATCCACAAATACAGTTACATAGATTATCATAGTGTAGAGAACCTGGGATAACTCAAAAAAGTCAGAGTGACTTATTTCCATCGGGGTCCTTTTTACCTTATTATTATAAAATAAAGGTGATGGACAAGGCCCGGGCCGGGAGAATACCGGAGAATCTTTAATAATAATAATCTTATTATTATTCTATAACGGAGATAATATCTTATTATCATACTATTAAGACTATCTACTACACGAGGGTCATTAAGACTATCTACAATACGAGGGTCATTACTAGGAATAAGGTAATATTACACGTGTGTTAGCTAAAAAAAATAAAAAATCATTCCCCTCCCTTTCTGGAGTTACATTCATTAGGCAACTTTTGGCACTCTTCTTGAACTGGTTCATGCTATGACTGGCTTTGACATGTGCAGGCAGTCTGTTCCATTCCTTTATTACTGTTTGAAGCCTGGCCACTGACTGTGGGTACTACAAAGTTGTGTGGCCCGGTGGCCTGGTGGCTAAAGCTCCCGCTTCACACACGGCGGGCCTGGGTTCGATTCCCGGCGGGTGGAAACATTCGACACGTTTCCTTACACCTGTTGTCCTGTTCACCTAGCAGCAAATAGGTACCTGGGTGTTAGTCGACTGGTGTGGGTCGCATCCTGGGGGACAAGATTAAGGACCCCAATGGAAATAAGTTAGACAGTCCTCGATGACGCCCTGACTTTCTTGGGTTATCCTGGGTGGCTAACCCTCCGGGGTTAAAAATCCGAACGAAATCTTATCTTATCTTATCTTCTCTCCCCCCTAGTACTGTGATCGTGGCCTGGTAGCTAAACTTCCCGTTTCACACACGGAGGGCCCGGGTTCGATTCCCGGTGGGTGGAAATATTTCGACGCGTTTCCTTACACCTGTTGTCCTGTTCACCTAGCAGTAAATAGGTACCTGGGTGTTAGTCGACTGGTGTGGGTCGCATCCTGGGGGACAAGATTGAGGACCCCAACGGAAATAAGTTAGGCAGTCCTCGATGACTCACTGACTTTCTTGGGTTATCCTGGGTGGCTAAACCTCCGGGGTTAATAAAAATCCGAACGAAATCTTATCTTATCTTCATTGCTCTATTTAATGTTACAAATATTTTATGCTCGTTTACTCAAGAGTTTATTGCGTTATTAAAGAGTTTATTGGTTAATTAGCGAGTTAATAGGTTTATGTGTGAGTTTATTAATTTCTTCACGCTTTATTTTTCTGTTTATTTACGAGATTATTGTTTTATGAGGTTTATAAAATATTTTACGATCGTTTAATTACGAATTTATTGCTTTAATTACAAGTTTATTTACGAATTTATTAATTATTTACTCTCTATTTGCAAGTTTATTAAAGGGTTTATTGGTTCAATTAAGGAGTTTAATGGTTTATCTCAGTATAAAATATTTAGTGTCGTTGTCTCTGATGTAAACAATTCCTGACGAGACGCTAAAATTTCGCTATTTTGGCGTCTTTTGGCTTTTTTTGAGTGTATGACATAGGCCTAATGGTGCACAGGAGGTCTACATATAGCCTTATGTTCAGGAATTATGGAGAGAGTGTCAGGAGGAGAGTTTACCTGGAGAATAACAGAGTGAGGTGAGCCCCTGAGTGTTTAGTGCATGGTGTGAGTTTATTCAGGTAACAGGTACACATAATACGCTACGTAAGCTATACATAGCACACATATGTGTAGATTAACCACCAGTTTAACCCTAAAATGTCAGATAAAGTGACTTATTTCCACTGGAGTCCATGTAATAAGTTATTATTTTAACAATAAAAGGAGATCTACTAGGAATAATGTAAACTGAGTTATTTACATTAACATTAAAGAGAGGATCAGATCACAGTAATAGGCACACGTAGGTTACATATACAAGAAGTTGATAAATTAGACACGTGTAACTCTTGGGTATCTTTATTGAGGAAGCTGTATAGCCCTTGTGGCTTAGCGCTTCTTTTTGATTATAATAATAATAATAATAATTTATTGAGGAAACGTTTCGCCACACAGTGGCTTCATCAGTCCATGTAAAGGAGAAACGTGAAGAACAGGAGGAGAATGAGGTAATCAGTCCCTCAATCTTGAGTCGATGTGGTCAGTCAATCAATCTTGAATAGAATACGGCATATGTGTGGAGAAGTAGCTTATATACTGCAACTTCTCGGGATCTTAATAGTTGGGAATTCTTTGTTTGCCTAACCCTTAGGCACGACCTACTTCCACATTGAACAAATGTGACACCACCTACGACTGCTGCACCTCTCCTGCCTGCCTCCTCTCCTGCACATATGCTGTATTCTATTCAAGATTGATGGACTGACCACATCGACTCAAGGTTGAGGGACTGATTACCTCATTCTCCTCCTGTTCTTCACATTTCTCCTTTGTATGGACTGATAAAGCCACTGTGTGGCAAAACGTTTCCTCAGTAAAGATACTGAAGAGTTGCACATGTGTCTAATTTATCAACGTGTCGGTTCTCTGAACCATTCATCCACAATACAAGAAGTCACTCTCCTCCCTTTCTATAGCTGCATTCATTAATTACTATTGGCTCTCTTCTTGAACTGGCTTGTGCTGTAACTGGCTTTGACATGTGCAGGCAGTCTGTTTCACTCTTTTATTGCTGTACAATAAAATGTGTTTGAAGCCTGGCCACTGACTGTGGGTACTACAGAGTTGTGTTCCCTTCCCCAATACTATAATTACTTTGTTTCCCAGCAGTCTTGACACACTTGGCAGCAAGATATTCTGGACACTGTGAGCAATTTTATGAACGTGATTTAACTTCAGTTGTTTTACTCTGTCTTTAGCATTCAACATATCCAGTTGTAATTCATCCTGGCCTACATACTCTCTTGGACCCAGGTCCACGATGATTTTCAACCATTTGTTCTGGGTGATTTGTAGTTTATCTTTCAGTTTTCTTGTTAAGGCAGAGTACCATGAAGAGCAAAAGTAGTCTGCGTGACACTGTATAAGAGTTAGACATAGGGTCCTGTGAGCCTTAGTAGGTAGTCACCGTGCTTGTCTGTATAGTAACCTTAGTCTGGCATTCACTTTCAATTCGCTATCAATTCTCCTGACATGTGTGGGTCAAAGGGGATTCCCAGATATTTCACTGAAGATACTGAGGTGATGAGTTCCCCATTACACTGACATTAAAATTATTTACCCTTTTCAGTTTCATTTTTTGTGCAAAGAGTATGGGCTTCCATTTTCCCGAGGTGTAACGATAATTTGTTGTCCACTAACCATTTGCTGCAGGACTCTAGTTCTAGTGATTGTACATTAGCTATATCTTAATGGTCTTTTCCTGACACTAACACAGCACTGTCATTGTCATATGCATACAACAGATGCTTACACTTGACACTGATGGGCATGTCATTCACATAACATTGGAATAATAAGGGACCCAGAATACTACCTTGGGGAACTCCATATGCTATTGGCAGGGGTTCTGATTCTGTGTTATTGATCTTGACAATTTGTTTCCTGTTGATCAGGTAGGACTTAAACCAGTCTACAGAACTTTGTGCAGATAGCATGTACAGGTCTCCCTCAACATTCACGTTTTCAACTTTCACGGGCTTCACACATTCGCGAATTCCCAACTGCCAAATTCCCAGCCGCCAAATCATATTTAAGTTTCCCGCCACCTGCGAGTCCCTACTACCCTCCCTCCTACCCCTCACAACTGGCAGCCAGCCCTCCCACCACTCAGTGTGGCGAGTGTTTTGTTTGTTCATTATTTGCTATTAAACTACAGTATAAATAATGTAAACCCATTCATGACTGCATATTGGAATGGCTATTCGGACAGGTATTAGACGGTGACATCATGTGTTTACTCTTGAACACAGCAAAGAATCAAACATTTCTGCTACAGCTAATATAACAATAGTAGTAATAATAATAATAATAATATAATAATAATAAATACGATATAATTGAAGAAGAAATTGTACAAAAATACGAGGGAGTGGTTGACACATCGTCAGTGTGGCTTTGTTTATGCTGGAGTGAACATTAATCTCCCTGCTCTTTCCAAACATTTCACAATAATTCATTGTTTGGTGCTTGTAGATTGAGTGTGACTGGAGTGGTAGAGGCAGTGGTTGAAGAAGCTGTTGAAGAAGCTGTTGAGGCAGCTGTTGAGGCAGCTGTTGAGGCAGCTGTTGAGGCAGCTGTTGAGGCAGCTGTTGAGGCAGCGTTGAGCAGCGTTGAGGCAGCAGTTGAGGCAGCGGTTGAGGCACGGTTGAGGCAGCGGTTGAGGCAGAGCGGTTGAGGCAGCGGTTGAGGCAGCAGTGAGGCATGGTTGAGGCAGCGGTTGAGGCAGCGGTTGAGGCAGCGGTTGAGGTAGTGGTTGAGGCAGCGACTGAGGCAGTGGTTGAGGTAGTGGTTGAGGCAGCGATTGAGGCAGTGGTATTTAATAACATACATGTTATTAATAATATGTACTATTATTATTTATAACATATATGTTATTAAATACCACTGCCTCAGTCGCTGAATTATTGTGAAATGTTTGGAAGAGCAGGAGACTAATGTTCACTCCAGATAAAACAAAGTCACACTGACGATGTGTCAACCACTCCCTCGTATTTTTGTACAATTTCCTTCTTCAATTATATCGTATTTATTATTATTATTATTATTATTATTATTATTATTTATTATTATATATTATTATTATTACTATTGTTATTATTAGCTGTAGCAGAAATGTTTAATTCTTTGCTGTGTTCAAGAGTAAACACATGATGTCACCGTCTAATACCTGTCCGAATAGCCATTCCAATATGCAGTCATGAATGGGTTTACATTATTTATACTGTAGTTTAATAGCAAATAATGAACAAACAAAACACTCGCCACACTGGGTGGTGGGAGGGCTGGCTGCCAGTTGCGGGGGTCGGAGGGAGGGTAGTAGGGACTCGCAGTGGTTGAGGAAGTGGTGGTGGCAGTGGTGGAGTCTGTGGTATTTAATAACATACATGTTATTAAAGCATAACACGTATATATTTAGTACAATTTACGACATTTTCATGTATTTTATTATTGTTCATGGTTCAACAAGTTAAGGAAGCAGTATTGTATTATATTTCCCTACAATATATTGGGGCACCAAACATTCACTGTTTTTCAACATTCACGAGGATCTTGATCCCCTAACCCTCGCGAATGTTGAGGAGACCTGTAGTTTCTTAAATAATATATTGTGGTTGACCATATCGAAGGCCCTTTGCAAGTCTAAGGTTACCATACCTGTGAGATTCCCTAGCAACATTTCAGTTATCAGGTAGTCCATTCAGATTAATTAGGGAGGTGTTGGTTGTATAAGATTTCCTGAAACCTGATAGGTAACTGTGGAGAAGTTTTTATCATTGAAACAGTTAACTACTTGACAATACAGTGGACCCTCTGCCTAACGAATGCATCGCATAAACGTTAATATACGCCTAGCGATACATTTTAAAACGCAAAATTTTTGCCTCGGCTAGCGCTAAAAAAGTCGTCCAGCGCGATTCCATTCCGTTCGAGACATGTCCACGTGTGGCCTGAGTGCACCTCACTTGTCCTGTGGGTGCCAGTGTTTACAAGCCAGCCACCGCGGTCGCATCCAAACATACAATCGGAACATTTCATATTATCATACGTTTTTAGTGATTGCACCTGCAAAATAAGTCACCATGGGCCCCAAGAAAGCTTCTAGTGCCAACCTAACAGCAAAAAGGGTGAGAATTACTATGGATATGAAGAAAGAGATCATTGCTAAGTGTGAAAGTGGAGTGCGTGTCTCCGAGCTGGCCAGGTTGTACACAAAACCCCAATCAACCATCGCTACTACAGTGGCCAAGAAAACGGCAATCAAGGAAGCTGTTCTTATGCCAAAAGTGCAACTTTGTTTCGAAACAGAGATCGCAAGTGATGGAAGATGTTGAGAGACTGTTATTGGTGTGGATAAACGAAAAACAGATAGCAGGAGATAGCATCTCTCAAGCAATCGTATGTGAAAAGCTAGGAAGTTGTATGAAGATTTAATTAGAAAAATGCCAGCAACTAGTGGTGATGTGAGTGAATTTAAGGCCAGCAAAGATTGTTTGAGAGATTTAAGAATCGTAGTGGCATACATAGTGTGATAAGGCATGTGAGGCTGCCAGTCGGACCAAAAAGCAGCTGAAAATATGTGAAGGAATTCAAGGAGTACATAGACAGTGAAGAATTGACACCTGAACAAGTGTTTAAATTGTGACGAAACAGGCCTATTTTGGAAGAAAATACCAAGCAGACCTACATTACTCAGGAGGAAAAGGCACTCCCAGGACATAAGCCTATGAAAGACAGGCTTACTCTGTTGATATGTGCTAATGCTAGTGGTGATTGCAAAGTGAAGCCTTTATTGGTGTGTCACTCTGAAACTCCCAGAGTGTTCAGGAAAAACAATGCCCTCAAGGCTAATTTGTGTGTGATGTGGAGGGCAAACAGTAAGGCATGGGTCACTAGAGACCTTTTCTATGACTGGTTACACCAATGCATTGCCCCCACATGTAAAAAATTACCTCCTGGAAAATAAATTGGACCTTAA